GTACCTCCACACATGCATTGCACGAACAAATTTCGGCATTGCAGATCATCAGCCGACCGTTGGTGACGAGAACCAACCAACTTTCATTGACAAGTTTGTCTGGCGAGCTGTGGCACGTGGAAGCTCTTCCTGCTGCAGTCAGGTGATTTTCAAATTACTCTCCCATCAATCAGCGCGCAGCTCGGGTCGCCGACTGTCGAAAGTTGTCTTTGGATGAGTTGTCGTTCCACTCTAAAGTAATTAAGACAGCTGATTCCAACAGAAGTAAGTTAATTCCTTTTTGCTAAACTTTTCCATTTAAAGTCAATCCAAACGTCATTCATCACAGGTTTTGACAATTTAATGACACTTGAATTGGCGTAGTTCCTTCGTTCACGTTTCTAATGATGTCTCAAAGAGCCTTATGGATGTTCTTGCTTCCACTTTGCAGTGATCCGTCTCCCTTTTGGCGATGGTGTTCCTGCAGTCCATCAACGCTCCTCAGTAAGTTACGCGTGGAAGCCTTCATGGCCGTGTTGACGTTGTTGACTAACTGACTGTTGATGCGTTTGTAGGTGCCCCGAAGCCGACGATTTTTGGACATCTTCACTTACCTACTTCTCGCCTGCTGTGTCCAGCTGCCCGAATCGGAGTGACACTTTTTTATGCTTTTGCTTCCACCTCTCAGTTTACTGTCCAAGATGTTGAGTTAAGCCGAACCTTATCAGCAAAGTCGGATTCTCTGCTCTCCAACTTCTCCTTTGGAAGAGTTGAACGACTGACCTGACAGTCGGGCGAACAGGCATTGAGAATTTGGCATTTCATGGAGTGGTGAAATCTCAGGCAGCAAATTAGTTGGGTTGGAGTAAAAAAGTGGAACTGGTTTTAAGGAGGGTCAGTCTTGGAGGTGAAATCTCCTTCTACCTCGCCGCATGGATAGGTGGTAAATAGGGGCGAACTTGGTTGGGCAAAAATGGAATACTATTGTTTAGACGGCGACAAAATCAGGCATGCCAAAATTTCGTCCTCGTGACGCATGTCTCAGATGCTGCATCACGCAGTTTCTTTGCTGGTAAAATGCGTATCACCACCGTCCCGTATCTCCTTCATCACTCCATCCATTCTTTCATTCACTATTCCTCTGTCCCAATCATCCATCTATGGCATGGCGTCTACCAAATCATCCTTTTATCCATCCATTCATCCGCCCATACTGCGTCAATGCATCCAACCTTCCATGACTTCGTCCATCATTCCGCTAGCCTTCAAACGTGGTCGATGGTGTGAAGGTGCCAAGTGTCGAGAACTTCTTTTCCATTTCTCAACGCCTGAGCTTGATTGAGTTAATAAAGGAAGGTGCAGCAGAAGTTAAAAGTACCTCTCATGGTCGTCATTCATGGTGAAATGATTGGATCCTGCGGGTTATCCGTCGGTTTTCAAAGCCGCAATCTTCTGCAGATGATAAAGAAAAACAAATTTGCGTGACGAGGGATTTCATTGGACACCGACTGCGCTCAAGAGTCGTCATCGAAATTTAGACTAGAAAGTGCTCTTCAACAGCACCAAGTGAAGTCTGTGTCACAGACCCCTGTCCACTCATCCACTTTTTAGTACCTACCTTTAGGCTCGTCCATCCATGCCACAACCATCCATCGATACACCAACTTTGGATGGCATCTTTATGGCCAATCGTTCATCCATCCATTGTCCGGGAGTTCATTCCTTCCCTCTTTCGTCCATCAATTCATACAACTCATTTCACCGATTCTCCATTCAACCATCCAATCCATTCAGCACGAGTATTGCATCTCAGTAGCAGGAAGAGGTGGCCATACGCTTTGAATGTCCGGAAACTTTAGACTAAACAGCTACACATTTAAGTAAGAAGGGATTTGAGCTGCCATTCAATGATGTGGCAATTCTCTTCGTGCTGTTTCCAACTTCTTCAAAGTTAT